TTAATGTTACATGTTTGGGAAAAAAACATCTAAGGATTCCGCACTAACTGTGTCTCAACTATGGTTAGTTAAAATTGAATATATGGAGGAAAGGGAGGATTGTTGGACATTTGGAACCGGTTTCTCTATCAGTAGTGATGGGCTGGTATTGACATGTTTTCTGTCACGACTCAAAATCCGTTAAAGATCGTGATGGCGCCGAACATCACTGTCAGGCAAGCCAACACTAAATAGTTAATTAAATCCTCATTTTTTAATATTTTTGAAATCGTAAATTTACTTCAATTTATCTAGTAAAAAAAATGAATTTACAGAATAAATAATAATATTTTTCAATTCCAATAGCGAACATCCCATAATCATCCCAGAACCCGGTGTCACAAGTGCATGAGCCTTTTCTATAAATTTAAAATAAAATACGATAATTGTCCGGAATACAACTTGGACAGAAAAGAAAATACAATACTCTGAAGGAGACTTTGCTGGCTGCGGTGCGTCGTATAGAATGCAGCACACCTAAGTCCCCGCCATAATCGCGCCTTTGCGCCCACAAGGCCGCTAAACATATGTGTACCTGCACAAAAATATGCAGCAAGTATAGTATGAATACGTAAATCAACGCGTACCCAGTAAGTATCCCGCCTAACCCCGAAGAAGTACTGACGAGGGGTCGACTTCGACACTTACTATGGGCTATAAATGGGATATCAATGATATAATTAAGTATGAATTATATGAAAGGTTGCAAGCTCAATATTTTGAAGTAAGTAAGTAGTTCTTTCATAATTAAGAAATCTCCAAATTTATCTCCCATTATTTAACAATTTAACTCAGGTCGAGGAGGCAATATCATTATTTATAAATTTCAAGGCAAGCAATACAAGCATGCGCAAATCATGCCGAGGTCGTACGACCCGATCCAATAAATATTTAAATTGTGCACTGCCAGAGGGTCGAATGACGCGAACCATAGATGCACCTATTAATAATTATTTTTAATAAAATACAAGTTTCTCATTTATAGTCAGGTATCTCATACAAGCCTTTCAGTAAGTGAATTTAACCTCATACAAATCTTCAAGTAGTGAATTTAACCTTATACAATTCTTTTATCAATTTTTATCATGACTAAGTGATTATATTAGCAAGTAAGGGCACAAACATTCTAAGTATAGCATGATACGGGTCCTAAACTATCCGGACAATAGCATAATAGTAGCTACATATGGACTCTTGTCATCTCGTACGTACGTAGCTCTCACAATTAGGTACAAATATTTATTTAATTTACCTATGGGGTTAATTCCCTCTTACAAGGTTAGAAATGAGACTTACCTCGCTCTGAAGTTTCATAACCGGCTCCCAAGCCATTCAATTAACTCAAATCGATGTCCAACGCTCCAAAACTAGTCAATAAGTAAGCAAATCCGTAAATATATACTCTAATACTCATTATAATCCTATTTACAACAATTCCCAACTCCGTTCGAAAAAGTCGATAAAATCACCCTCGGGCCCATGTGCCCGGATTCCAAAATTTTTTGAAGATAAAGTTTACCCATAGCCTCACGAACTCAAATATATAATTTTATTTCCGATTCCATACTCAAATTCGTGGTAAAAATCCAAAAATACCAAATTCTAGATTTTCTACCAAAACCCCACAATTTTTACTAATTTTCATGTTTAACTCCATATATAAACCAAGTATTTAACTTCATAATAAGGGGGAATCACTTACCTTGAGTTGCTTGCTGAAACTCTCCCCTTGAAGCTCTTCAAAATTGCCCAAACCAAATAAAAATGGGAGAAAAATGGCCAAAACCCCGCTTAAAAGCATTCTGCCTAGCCCGACCTCCGCACCTGCGGTCCAATAGCCGCTTCTGCGGCTCCATAGGTGCAGTCCAAATTTCGCTCCTGCGGTCCTCAATGCCCAGCCAAGATCTCGCACCTGCGAAAGTTTCTTCGCTTCTGCGAGCTTCGCATGTGCGACCTGCTATATTCATCTGCGCAAATTTTATGCACCAGCAGTGGCTGCCTCGCGCCTGCGCACACGCAGGTGCGCTTCTCCAATCCGATTATGCGGCTCCCCCAGCTCCAGTCCCTTCTCGCTTCTGCGAGAAATTCGTCACACCTGCGACCAAAGTCACGCAGGTGCGATTACACCAGAAGCATTAAGCTTCAGAAATTCTTAAGTCCAAAAATCGATCCGTTAACCTTCCGGAATCCACCCGAGACCCTCAGGACCTCAACCAAATATACCAACACGTCCCAAAACATGTTACGAACTTAGTCGAGCCTTCAAATCACATCAAATAATGTCGAATTCATGAATCGCACCCCATTCCAAGCTTAATGAAATTTAGAATTTTAACTTCTACATTCGATGCCGAAACCTATCAAATCACGTCTGATTGACCTCAAATTTTGCACACAAGTCATAATTGACATTACGGGCATACTCCAACTTGAGGAATCGAAATTCGACCCTGATATCAAAAAGTCCACTCCCGGTCAAACTTCTCAAAAACCTTTAAATTCCTAACTTTAGCTCAATGACTCCAAAATGACCTACGGACCTCCAAATCCACTTCCGGACGCGCTCCCAATACCGAAATTATCATACGGAGCTATTCCCAGAATTAAAATTCCAAACAGACATCGATAACATCGAAATGTATTTCAACCCAAATTTATGGAATTCTTTCAAAATGCTAACTTCCACAATAGGTGTCGAAACGCTCCCGGGGCATCCAAAACCCGATCCGAATATACGTCCAAGTCCGAAATCATCATACGAACCTTCTGGAACCTTCAAATCCCAATTCTGAGGCCGTTTACTCTAAAATTCAATCTTAGTCAATTCTTCCAACTTAAAGCTTTCGAAATGAGAATTTTCTTTCCGATCCAACTCCGAACTTCCCAAAATTCAATTTCGACCATACGCACAAGTCCTAATACCTGAAGCAAAGCTGCTTATGGCCTCAAACCACCGAACGACGCGCTAGAGCTCAAAACGACTGGTCAGGTCGTTATATTTTCATACATTCCCACCGCATTCTTGTACACTTCAATTCAGGAGGTTAGATGAACATGATTTTCGTAAGGCTAGGATAGTATAAAAAAGTCTGAAATGTGATGTTTCATTACTGCAGGTTGAAGATGTTAATAGGTGCCTATATGTTACTCTGTCCACTAACGATTCACTATTAGTTGGCCAAACTTTATTGCATATAGATAATCCTAGTCTGGTGGACGTTCCTAAATTTGTAGGGTCATTTTTGGTGGGTAAAGTTGCGTTTGGATGTACAGACAAAGTCGAAATACAAACGTGTAGAACTTATAGTCCCACCGCCTTACAATCTACACCAAATCCTAAAATTATGGGTGATGTTGTGAATGAAGGCAAACTTGATGATACTGATAGCTGCTGGGATCATAATCTTTTCTCTTTTACCCCTATAATGCAAACGTATGGGCTTTATTGTTTATAAGGTTGTTCAGGTGGCCCCGTTTTCAACGTCAAGGGTGAAGTTGTAGGGTGCTTAGAGGTATTAGATGAATATGATACTGCCATACATGTTGCTATGTTGAGAGAATTATTAAGATTGTTTGGAGAACAATATCCCGACAATAAAGATATCAAAAGGAAACATGATCCAATTTGTGTACTTTAGGTTTGACACTTTTTTTATTTTGAAAAATAGTTTTTAAGTCGCCAATTACTGGTTAGGGTTATTAAGGTCTTTTTACCTTTCGTTTAACCCTAAAAACAAGTATGGTGGACCAATCCAGTAGAAAAATCGAAAATATATTGTAAAGAATAGACTAATTACTTTACTTTCCTAACTCGGTAGAAAAATCGTAAATGTGTTGTAAGCTTAGCTGAAGAAGAGACTTATTACTTTATTTTTCAAACGAGACCGACTAAAATCTGCTTTTGAGCATGGTGAGTTCTCCGAGTTGCACTTCTTAGATATTTTCCGTGTTCATTCTTTTAGTGGCTTTAATGGTTCTATTTTCTTAGTGTTAAATGTTTGGGAAAAAACATCTAAGGATTCCTGACTAACTGTGCCTCGGTTGCAAGAGTTTTACAATAGGCAAAAGGCAATTGTATGGTTGGTTAAAATTGAATATAAGGATGAAAGGGAGGATTGTTAGATATTTGGAACTGATTTCTCTATGAGTAGTGATGGGTTGGTACTGACATTTTTTTCATACACTCTCACCGTATTCTTGTAAACTTCAAGTCAGAAAGTTAGATGAACATGATTTTCGTAAGGCTAGGATAGTATAAAAAAGTCCTAAATGTGATGTTTCATTACTGCAGGTTGAAGATGTTAATAGGTGCCTATATGCTACCCTCGCCACTAATGATTCACTATTAGTTGGCTAAACTTTATTGCATATAGAGAATCCTAGTTTGGTGGACGTTCCTAAATTTGTGGGGTCATTTTTGGTAGGTAAAGTTGCATTTGGATGTACACACAATGTTGAAATACCTATTAGTAATGAAACGTGTAGAACTTATTATGAGCCTGTTTGGCTTAGCTGATTTAGAGTAGCTGATAAGCATTAGGTGCTGAAAAACACTTTTAAGTGCTGAAACTGATTTAAAAAATAAGCAGTTACATGTTTGGATAAAAGTGCTTAAACTAATAATAAGCAGCTGAAACTGTTTGATTAAAAAGTGTTGATAAGCTCTTTTTATGTTAAAATGACTTAAATGACCTTATAACAATTTACACTACTAAAAACGTTATTTTCTTCAAAATTTTAGATTCTACATAGATTCTACCTATTTATCATGTTATTTTAATTATAAAAATGATTAGATAATATCTTTTTTATAAATATAGTTTATGTTAATCATAAATTAGAAGGGGTGGAGTATAAATTAACAAAAGTTAAGAAGAAAATCTTAAATAATGCACACAGTGTTTGTAGAGAAGAAACAAGCACTTAATATGTATTATTTGTAATAAATAAGAATAAAACATTCAACTATCATAAATATCTTGAGCAATCAGATCACGAATTGCCATCCAAATATTATTATCTCCTTGATTTTCTATATTTTCTTCATCTGCAACGTTGACTCTTGTGGATCTTCCAATATCAGGATCAACACGTGGCACATATCTCTCATTCTCAGCTTCTTGGAATGCATTGTCCATCTTACATTTCTTTCTAATATAATTGTGAATCGTCATTGTAGCCAATACGATATCTCTTTGAGTGTCAATATGATAAAAAGGCATATCTCGCAAAATAGACCACCTTGCTTTCCATACCCCAAATGTTCGCTCTACAATATTTCTGCAAGAAGAATGCAAATAATTGAACATTTCTTTATGTCCATTTGGTGCTCGCAATTGTCGTGTCGCACCTCGACGAAAGTTTGCAAGATGGTATCTCACATTATCCCCTTTATATGAAGTCATATATCCCTTTATGTGTGAATATCCTGCATCAACAAGATAATATTTGTCCCCGGATGGATGTGAAAAATTCAGTTCGGGACTACGAAGTGCCTCACCAAATATACGGTTATCATGAGCTGCTCCTTCCCACCCAAACCATGCAAATGTAAAACACATATTAAAGTCGACAACAGCAAGAATATTTTGAGTAGGATAACCTTTACGCCCAATATATGGTATCTCTTGACCTTGAGGCAATCTTGCTTTCACATGTGTGCCATCAAGTGCTCCAATACAATCCTAAAAATATATACACGCATAAACTAAATATAAGTTTACACTAGGTAATTTTTTGAGTTAAAATATAAAAATATAATAATATAATTATTAAGTATGTCACTTACTTTAAAGAAAGGGAGATATCGTTGATTACATGGCTTGTGATCTCCTGCACCATCATTATAACTTGAATGTGGTTGAATTATGTCTCTTGCAAGCTTACCAATGGCCTTTAGAACACTATGAAAATGCCTATGAATTGTTTCTCCTGAATGTTGAAAAATCTCTTGTACCAATCGATTTCCGGCACCATGTGCACAAATCATCAAGAACATCCCTAACTCTTCATAGACAGACATCCCACGCGTGGGTTTAAGACCATATTTATCAGTTAGATCTTTGCTTAAATAAAGAAACACTGACTTCCTCAATCTAAAATTTTCATAACACCGAGTCTCATTTTCATGCAATATCTCTTGGATAAATATATTCCAGTTCGTTTCGATGTACGACATGGTTCCTTACAAATGTATTTCTCATAATATATCAATATACTCTTACATGCTATTCGACATAGTGCCATCCGTTCCTTATTTTCTTGAGTTTCCTCTTCTTCATTTTCGTCATTTAACAAGTCATTGTTCCAGCATTCCATTAAACTGAAATGAAACAGACATACAAATTGTTACGAATTAAAAATGATAAATGCTAACTTCAAAGTTGATAGTATAGTTATCTATTAAAATAAAACACGTAATGTCTAAACAAAAAATGATTAAACCACCATTATGTATAAACAGGAAACAAAACATTAAGAAAATATAACCTTCTGGACATACTTTAAAGGACAAGTTAAAATATCTAATGCTAATGTAATATGGGTAAGGCATCATCAACAACTTCTCATATTGGATTAGATGGATTATTCGGCACGAAGGATCGTCGGTGGTTGTACTCCAACCAAGATTTCCTAGCTTCATCAGTAGACAACTTCAAAAATACATGTCGCATCTCTTTCTGTGTCAACAAGTTCACAGCACAATTAAAAATATCACTCCCTTCAAGAATACCAGGAATATTTTCTAAAATATCCATGCACTTCTCAATGGTGGGCTCTGAAGACTTAGATGTGTTGTTATTAGATATGAACTCAATAAGGGAGTGTATCTCCTCTTTTAGTGACAATGAATTATTTTTTGTCTTGCGCTTTTTCACTTAACTGCTACTGCCACTGCCATCTATTGACTTTCGCTTTCTAAGCGATGGCTCAGGAAACGTAATTGAATCCATATTCTGCAAGTCATGACTTTCATCGCTTATTTCATCATTCCATTGTTCTATGTCATTATCATAAACATCATTTGTTCCATCATCATCTTGATCTAACCCAACTTCCGACTCTTATTCTTGATTTGCTGCACGTGCTCTCTCTCCGGTGGCAATGATATCAGTAAATAAAGCATCGTAACGAAACCATATCAGCGAAAGGTCTTTGTTCCTAAATTTTTTGTATTTAGAATTCTCCTGTAAAAAAGAATTTAAAATTACTCTAAGCAAACAAATAAAACTAATAATTAATAGAGTTATGAAATAATTATAGAAAAGGACAAGCAATGTACCTTAATTTGTTTCTCCCACCAATTATCATCTGCAATAATTGTTTTTCTTGTGGGATCCCATCCTAAACCTGTCTCACCTCTCATTAACTGCTTAAAAAGAGTCCACTCTGCTTTCATGTGATCCCAATGATTTTTTATTTGTTTTCTAGTATATTCTAGTCCCGTCTTCTTATTAAACTCATTTACCATATTCTTCCATCCATCTTTAGACAAGTAAGTGTTTGGCCTATTTCCTTTTCTAACTTCTTGCTCACACAATTCAATGAATTTAATATGTGCATATTCGTCCCACTTAGCATTATGTCGTTCTCCCATAATTGAATGTTAACAATCTGAAGAGATTACAAGATTTAGCTATAAACGTACACATATAATAATATTTATGCACAACTCAAAATAAATAAAGTTCAAAAGAACGCCTTCTTATTTTTGTATGTCACATATTTTTGAAGTATAAATAATTTTCAATATTATAATGAGACCAACTGTCTTAAACGTCTAGTGACTAACAAAACAAAAAAAAGCATGTGTTGTTATATTTGAGCTTCAGAGATAGCTTCCAATAAATTTATGTTCCTACTCGACTCCTTCTTTCTCCTCATGAGTTGTGACCGTGAATAAATTTCACAAACAAGAAACTTTATGTATAACTAGGTATCTTTCGTATTACATCCAAAATATATTTGCTGGTCTTCATCAATGCATGAAGAAGGGGATACGTGTAGACTACCTCCTTATAACATTAATAATATACTCAACTCTAAACAAGAAGTCATGAGAAAAAAAAATACAAGACAAGAAAACCCGTGCGTAAAAGTAAAAGGCTGGCCTGTTTTGTACCGTCACTTTGATTACACGCATAAAAATACTGGCCGAGAAATATGAATTTGACAAACAACAAATACTCAGTAAAGTTTAAAACATATGGGATGAAAGGGACAAAAGTAGCTTATGATTTGGACTCCAAAACCAAAAATTGGATTCATTCAGCTTTCAATTCTTTTCATCTTAGTCACATCTTGTCTTGATAGAAACACGTAGGAGGATTTGTAAACATATCTTGATAGAGTGTTTAAAACATAAAAAAATTACCTGCAATTTGTCTGATAGTTGCAGAGAAGAACGAAAGAAGCACGTAAAGGAAGCAATGGCACGGCTGGAGAGGCAACAACTGTTTAGGTTTTATGAAGAACCGGGATAGAGTAAAACTATACGAAGAGTTTTGTTTTAAAAAGAAGTATTTTAGGGATAGAATAGTAAATATTTTGGTCAAACCTAAAGTGCTTATAAGCTGAAATTTGATAAGTTGGGGGAGACCAACTTATGGCTTATGGCTTATAAGCCAGTCTGACCAGCTTATAAGCTTAGCCAAACACCCTTATAGTCCCACCGCCTTACAGTCTATACCTAAGCCTAGAATTATGGATGATGTTGTGAATGAAGGTAACCTTGATGATACTGATAGCTATTGGGATGATAATCTTTTCCCTTTTACCCCTATAATACATGTGAGCACCTAATATTTGCCTATATTTAAATTTTTATAACATCTTACTATGTAAATATTTTTAGAAATTTAATATATATATTTTTAGCTTTGTTACATTTTTTATAGTGTAGAAATTAAAAATAATTTAAAAGGTCAATTATTACTATTAGTAATATTTTTATTTTTTATCTTTATTTTAAAATAAAATAAATTTAAAAAAATCAAAAAAAATAATTAGATTTTTTAAAAAATTTCGGATGGGAATAAAATAATAGGAAAATTAAAAGTATGGAATAAAAAAGTAAAAGTAAAAATAGGTGAAAATTAATTTTTAAAAAAAGTAAAAGAAAGTGGAATATTAAAAAAAAAGTAAAAGAAAGTTGGAATTAAAAAATTAAAGTAAATGTAGCTGAAATATTTTTTTTAAAAAAGTAAAAGAAAGTGAAAATTAAAAAAGTAAAGTAAAATAAGTGGAAAATCAAAAAAGGAAAGAAAAAAGTGGGAATTTAAATATAATAAAAGTAAAAAAAGTGAGAAATTAAAAAATAAAAGTAAAGGAAAGTGTGGAATTATTCCTTTTTTTAAAAAAAGAAGAAAAGTCGGAAGTGGGAATTATTTTTTAATTAAAAAAATAATAAAATAATAATAATAAAAATAATCTGAAAAAATTCTGAAATTTTTTCTATAAATAGAAGAGAAATGTGATGAGAAAAAAAAAAGAAGGGAGGAGGAAATTGAGAGAAATTATTTTTCTTCTTCTACGCTAAGAGAATTTCTACTCGTGTCATTCTTTCTTTGTCTTTCTTTCGAAAAATTCAGCAAGTTGTCACCCAAAATCCAACAAAAATACTTCATAACATCCCTTTTTACACGCCAAACAGTGGAGTCAATAGTCGAGGTCGAGGATTTCATTGGAGCTCCGTTCACTAGGTTTGATGTTCTCCATCGCTTATGCTTGTTCGATGTTCGTCTGAGTTATTATACCTGTTCTTGGGGACTCATTTAATTAGAAATTTTACATTAAAGGTTTATTCTTCCCTCTGTTTTTTTTATCTTATTTCATGTGATTTTATTTATTTGCCTTTAAACTTTATAAATAATAATGTAAGTTACTCCTTAAATGCTATATGCTTAATCATGTTTATGAAAATATGGTATTCAAACTTGCTTTAAAGTTGAGAAGATTTGGACCTTAATGAGTTTGGGCTTCAATTGTTGAGTTGTAAGGTATTGGTATATGATGGTTTATTTATTCAAATATTTAAAATCATACACTTCTTCCACAAGTAATTCCATAATTCATGTCCTTCACAATAATCTCAAACTTAGGAAAGAAACAAATCATGAATGCGCTAGAATGCTTTAGGTGTACTCTTAATTAATTGAATCATCGTGATTTTGTATACGTTCGCGTGACATAATTACGCTTTCCAAAACTAAAATCAAGGTATACGTTCGCGCAACTTTGGGTGAAACAACCTTAAATATGATTAAAATGCTATTAATTGTGTACATGTACACGTGACATGATTTTGGCACAATAAACAAAACAGATTCACACACGTGATTCGTTTCAAAAATAATTTCATATTTTAATATAAAAGCGGATAGATAAAATATGAAAACCAATAAATCACAGTTTTCCAAAATTAATTCAAGCCAAGTTATAGTCAATAAAGCGACCGTGCTAGAACCACGAGACTCGGAGAATGACTTAAACCTTCTCCCCAGTCAACAGAATTTCTTACCCGGACTTTGTTTTTGCAGACCAATAATAATAGAGTCAAACCTTCCTTTGACTAGGGATTCAAATAAAAAGTGACTTGGAACACCCAAAAAATTAATTCCAAGTGGCGACTCTGTAAATAAAATAATCCCTACTCAAATTTGTCACTTTAATTGAAAAAACTCTTTAACCCAAAGAAATCCATAATATGTATATCACATATTGTGGGGTAAAAAAGAGTGTGACAGCTCTGACGACTCTGCTGGGGATCTCAACCAGAATTCGAGCTTGTACATATTGACTTTTATTTGGCTTTATTAATTTTGTATATATTGTAATTTATTGGTGCCTAATGTGCTACTTTTCCGCTTTTTACCGCTTTGATATTGTTGAACTATACATATAAATTGTCTTCTCACGCACCCCTCTAAGTGTTCTTGAAATTAATTGGGCATTTGCTTGACATAGCCCGCTTTCTTTGAGATAGCCGAGGTGCTTGTCACCCGGTGAAGGATTTAAGTCACACATAGTTTAGGCGGGGAGCACCACCAGCTAAGCCGGTAAGTAATACTACCGGTACGCTGACCCTCCTCGGCTCGAGTTGTCCGCTGGAGTAAGCCAGTCTAGATACCCTCTCCATTAGGATTTAAACCTAGAAGAATAAACCTCATGCCAGATATT